AGTGAGGAGGAGAAAACATTTGGCTGAAGACATATATTTCAGTCCCAGGATTGTCTGCTAAGTGCTGCAGCACCCAATCCATGCTTGCTGGATGCCAGCTGCTCAGCAGCAGCACTGGCAGCTGTGCTTTTCACAGCCTTGTGAAAGAGTTTGTTTGGCAGAGATTATCCCCAGTTTGGGGACAGCAAATTCTGGTGCAGGAGAGGACAGACTGGGACTCCAGTTCTTCCTGAGAGCCAAAAGCATGTAATTTTTTTCCCCTTGGGTTTCTGAAGCTCCCAGGGAAACAAGAGGGATGACACACAGAGATGTTCATGGTGACAACGTAGCTGGATTTTACCCTGTTTAAGGCCCACAAAAATAACTATCCAGTTTGATTTCTTTTTTCTTGCTGAAATAAGCAAACAAGCAAAATGAATTCAGCTTTCTGCCTTTGCTCTAGCAAAAGAAACACAATGGCTACAATGCCTTCTCTCAAGGCACCACTCCAGGAGACATAAGGGAAGGTGGAGGCTCACTTGTCACCCAGGGGTGAAGGTGCTGGTTTTGGGTGTGAGTGACAAGACTGAGGTTGCACCATTTGCTGAGACAGGTGTGACCTGTGCCCTGCTGTGCTGGGACAGCTGAGGAGTTTGAAGGACAAAAGAGTAAGGGTTCCTCATGCACTCACAGTGCTGCTGTGTTACCTTATTTTTTTAAAAAAAGTCACTATGCTTTTAGCCATGAGTGTTCACCTCAGTTCTGGTGATTTGAATATTCATTAAATTTCAGAGACTCAAAGTCTATTATTGTGAGTTTTCGTAATGGTTCCCAGGATGATGGGAATGATATCAAACAGCAGAGATGAAGGAAATCCCATCTGGCAGGGACAACAAAGTCTCTAGTGTGGTTTGCAGGTCCCCCAGAAGAAAAAAAAAGGGAGTTAGTTTGGTTTGTTCATCAGTTTCATGTTAGCACTGAGTCCCTTGTTAGTACACCAGGAACAGAACTGCCACATGTGATTGTTTGCATTCTACACATTCCTGAAAGATAAATCAAAAGTTGTATTTTTAATACCAGAAATAGTTCTAATTACTTCCTGTTCACATGTACTCACCAGGTTGTACAAAGGTCCTGGACAGAGCACACTTGCAGAGGCTTTAGATCCTGCACCAGTTCCTTGTGCTACCAATGCTCCTGCAAGTGTCTCCTTATCTGGGAAGCTGGGTCTGGCCTGTGTAGCAATAATGTCAACTAAAGTCATGAAATCAGATCATCTCAGGCGACAACACTACCCCATCAGTTTGGGTTACTTTATCACCGTGAAAAAGCTTAGAAATTTGCAAAAATACAGGGGGAATCAGTCATGAGAACAGTTTGTAGATTTTTTTTCAGTTTTGCAGTAGCTGAGTCTCAGAAACATTTACAATGGTCAGAAAATAATGAAAAATGGAGAACAGATGAATGTGCAGTTACCAGACAGCCCTCTCACTACCTTGGTAGCTGGTACAGAGGAATGAATGCAAATGGATGTGTGTGTGTGTGTCTAGGCTTGTCTTTTCCACTTATGTCTAGTCAACTCATTGATTAAAAAACCCTCTGCAATTTCATTATTTCATATTGATGGCTGACTCAGTTAATTTATGTTTTGCAGATATTTGATGATTTAGGGTAGTTGTTAATATTGTTTCATTATTATTATTAAGTAGTTCAAAGGCTGGGCTCAGTCTGAGCTTTTATTAATTATTTTTAAATTTTAAGTAATAAAAAACATTGCAGTGTGGGAAATAAGGAAAAGGCAAATGTATGAGGCAGCATTATCAGTATCTGGTATACAGCCACAGCAAGAGTTCTGTCTCTTTCTCCTCATTTATTGTGTGTTTATTTGCCTTTGCTTTTTCTCATGATGTCAGTATAAAGAGGAAAATGACTGCTGAAATGAATGGATTTCAGCCTTTGATACAGAAGGATTAGTCTGCAAATATGAAAAAGAATTCCTACTCTTATTTTGAAACTTATCATTGTCTTTAGTAGTAGCAGAATATGGCTTCAAATACATTTGGGTTCTGTGTTCTGTAGGAAATGTTCAAAATTATGTACAGCAAAATTGAGAATCAGAATGTGCCTTTCTTAAAAGGAAAATGGAATTTTCTTTGAAAACAAGAGCCAGACTCTAGCTGGAATTTTACTGATGGGATGAGTTGCTCCAGGCCTTTTAGCTGCCAAATATTTTATCACTCCAAAGCCAGGTTTTCCTCTAGCCTATTTGTACAGATTTTCTCTCTCTTTTTTATATTTATGTATATGTATACACACATATATTTATTTCCCTTTAGTATTTTACAGAGCCTCATTTGAAATGGGGACAAGATGAAATCTAAAACCTAATGTCAGGGACATTATCTTGAATTCCATATGGATGGTTTCTATAGCTTTGTTATTTTTCTCATGGTTTTTAAGTTATTAGCTCCATAGACGCCTGATTCTTATTTCCTTGAATACAAAGTTTCCATCACCAGGCTGGAAATAGTGAGTCACAGATGAAAAGACTTGAGAAGGTGGTGGAGAGCGGCTCTGCAGGCTCCTCAGCCTGACCCATGGGACAATGCTTTTGGCACAGAAATTATTCTTTGCACCTATGAACTCCCAAAGGCCCAGAGCCCTGTGAAGTTTATAAGAATTCAGTATCAAAACCGAGTCTAGTTTTCTGACTAGTTTCCTGCCAATAAGATAAAATGTTTCTCAAAAACACCCCAAACATTTTAACAATTGTACAAAATGCTTGAAAGAGGCAGACAGAGTTTCTTCTGTTTATAAACGGCTGAAAGATTCACTGATCATTTAACATAATTTACCAAAAAACCACACCTCAAATCCTGCCTTTTTGCTATGGCTGTAAGACCTGTTCAGACACCTCTCTGCTGAACAAAGGCAGCACATGGAGCACTTGGGGATTTCAGTGATTCAGATCCCTCTGAACCCTAAAATCACTGTTCAGACCTTACTCAGGGATAATTCCCATTTTATGGTGGGGCTTCTCTGGCAGCTGTTGCAACTCCTGGGCTTGATGACTTTTCCTTTTACTTTGTGCCAGCCCCATCCTATCAGCTGAAGTGGCTCCTGATGTTGGTATTTATTCCCTTTATCATGTTAAGGAGTCAGTATGAGCTAAAAAGCTTGGAGTTGTGAGTCCCCAGAAGGACACAGTGCAGCTCTTAGTGGAGATCTACAACATGAACTGCAGCAGCTGGGAGTAGACAACACCATCAATAGGTTGCATTCTTGCTTTTCTTCTCTGTTACTTTTAGGCATGGAAAAATGCTTCTCTACAACACACACATTGGTCACCACAGAAACACAGTGTTTCTGGTCCTGGAAGTGGATGATTTTTATTCTGGAAATGGGTAGAAGAGGGTATTTCCACAACCTTAAAGAAGTATCTTCCTTCTCTCCCCACTCCCCTGCTTCTCCCTTTCTACAAAACTTTTGGGAACTCTGGAGTGCAATAGCAGGTAATGGCTTTTCCCCCCACTTTCTATGCAAAATTTCAGTAACCTTGATGGTAAACAGATGTCTACAAGCCATTGAATAGGCATTATTGATTTGAAACCTGATGGCCAGACTGAAAAATGAGGAGAGGAAGTGGAAATCTATGTTTCAGCTTTGCTAGGTGTTCTCAGGCAGATCATACTGTCTGTACATCCTATTTCCAGATTTGAAATGAGTGAAAATAAGGCAGATCTATTCTGAAGCTTTATTTACTTCAAGTATTTAGCAACAAGCAATGCACAGAGGCAAAAATTTTTCTTCTGCCTGTTTGCTGGATTTTGGGAAGGAAATGCCAGCTTTTCCTACTTCCTGCTGTTCCAAGCCTTGCTCACAGTAGCAAAGTTTATTCCATAAACCTATATAGGCCTAGTTGAACTAACAGGAGCTATTGCTGTGATGAAAGGCAGAGCAGTGTGTCAATTCCATGCACCATGATAAACCATCATGTCAAAACTGTGCAGGGATAGCTCTGCTTCACCACTGAGCCCTACTGCCATGGCTTTGTTGGGTCAAAAAAATGAAAAAGAATAATTTCCCTTCCATAGCTGTGCTGGTGAAACTTCAAAGGGCAGCACACAACTTGAGCAAGGACTATGGTATTGTTTCTGTTGTTGTGGCTCTGGGGATTTTGGGTGTGAGGAGGTGTGGTCCCTGATTGACAGAACATGGCAAAAGCCTCAAGCACAGACACTGTTGCACCAGCCAAACCTGTGGATTTTGGTTGTGGGGCAAGGTGGGGCTTCAATAGACTGCTCTGGTGAAATCTCTGTTATAGCAATATCCTCTGCATCTGTAGGAGACATGATTCTGCAGTGCAGCTATCTCAGACAGACACAAAACAGAGATGGCTTTGCTCAGGTGGTGGCAAAAGGGAGCTTTTTAGTACACAAAATGTGTTATCAGAGTAATGTGTATTTTCTTTCTTTTAACTTTCCCAGTCTGTTGCTGGATGGCTGCTGTTACAAGTCACAGCTGGGCAGGTAACCATCTGTTAATGAGTAATCCTTGGTGTTGGCATTGATCTGGTCCGCATTTTGCAATGTGATGCCATCTCCTGAGTGGGCTTGGTTGGAGCTCTTTGCTGTTGCTATACCATGCTTTTAATCAGCTCATGAAGAGAAAGAAGGGAAACATCCAGCTCTAGTTATAAGCAACATTGGATCAGCCGCTCTGGAGCTGCCCTTCAGTGCTTGCTGATGACACCAGGGACCATCTCCAAGGGTCAGGCGCTTTATAAACTCTTCACTCCTGGTGTTTTAAGGAGAGTCTCTCCCTCTGGGGCATTCCCTTCTACTCCCAAAGACATTAATGATTAACAATGATAACAGCTCTGCTTACTTAGAAAACTAAAATACATTAAAGTCAAGGAAATCACAGTCCCTTGTGAAAGCCTGTTCCTGATTCACCCTCCTGCTTCAGCCCAGCCCTGGAAGTTTTCCTCTGCCAGGCAAAACCTTCATGAGAGGAGAGCAAGGATGAGAGTCTGTGCTCCTCTCACTGTTGTCTTGGCTCTGAGTCTGAGCAGTGACTGTACAAGGATGGTAAGTGATTCCTCTCTTTCTGAGTGATGGATCAGCTGTGGGATACCTGGCAGGACCAGGCTGCCCTGGGGCTGGATGAGTGAAGCCACTGAACAGACCCAGAGAAAGGGAGATTCAAAGGGAACACAGCAGGGATGAGCCAGATGAAGGCTGACAGATTATAAGAAGTTTATAAGACAGTTTATAAGGTGCTCACTTGTGGGGGGACTGTGGGACAGCTGGTGCTACACCTTTCTCTGTTTGCAGCATTTGCTTACATCCATGCCTTGCTATGCAGGAGGAATGGGCAGTGAGGAAGGACTGCAAAAATGGAAATCCCCAAAAAATACATCTCAGAAAAGTGTTGACACAGGCAGGTACCTGCAGGAGCATGGAGGGAGAGTGCTCCACTGCCAGACACTGCTGCTGTGTCTGTAACTGAGCAGACCTGCTTAGGTGGCTGTCTTCTTTTCAGACTTGTGTCCATGCCAAACCCCTCAGTGGTTTGCATTATGTATCTTGTGTCTTTTTTGGGGATATATCTGCCAAGCACATGAAGCACTGCTGAGCAGGCTGTGATGGTCTGAATTTGCTAGTTTGCTTAAACCCCACCACAGCCTGGCATCTACCATGGGCTAGCAGGGTAGTTAGCTCACTGCTGCCTTATGGTCAGCACTGGGGCCTTAAGATCAGCCTTATTTCTCTAGCTAGGTTAAAACTAGCTCAGATATACTTGGATGAAGCTATAATCCTAACTATTTTAGCAAATTACAAAAGTATGTCCTCAGATATTGCATGAGGGAGCAGAGAGGAATGCTCATGCTCAAGATAAAGATCATCCCTGGCTGGAGCCCTTGCTTGGTGGTGGCAGTCTGTGTAGAGTGCAAAAACTGTTCTTTCCTCAGAACTGTTCAAGCCTTCTCTATATATCTTAGCAACAGCTTTTTCTTAACCCTCACTTTTATGTCCCCTGTCCAGTTCTATGTTCATGATATGTGCATCTTTGACTGCTTTTGTGATATTTTTTTTTGCTATAGTTCAATTGCCAGCACCTTTGGTGGCAGCAGCACTTTATGTGTATTATTCTCTTTTTATTATTTCCTGTGGCTTAAAATCAGCTCAGCCTAGTGCTCTTTGCTAGCTGATTGGCAAACCCAAATACAGTTAGAAGTTGCTTTTGTTACTAATGCCCTGGGGAGATACAGTTAAATAGCAGGAAAAGGCAAATGTTGGGATATTGTTTGTAACTGTGAACTGGCCCCAGAATGCATGTATTCTTCCTGCTGAGAGAAATAGGAGATGTGTCCCTTGGCAATAGAAAGATAAAATGGAGGAGAGCTTTGGCCTTTGTTGTGTTGTGCTGGGTTTTCCTGGTTTAGCTGGCACTTTCAAGAGTCAACATGTATCTACCCTCCTTCACCAGATTGTGCCCCACCAAAAATCAAAAGAAAATAATAAGATTTTCTCAGAAGCACTGGGAGAAGCACAAGTTCAGGGAACCCTGGAAAGTAGTTTTTGACCAGTAGTATGGTTCCCAGAGTGAATTTGTGTCTCCAATCCACATTCTCTTTTTCTCTTTGTAGCACTACAGATCTGGGGCAGGAAGAGGCTCAAGGCATGGGTTCCCTCGCCCACAAGGTACCAAGTCAAATCCAGTAGGTTTCATGACAGTAAGAATGGTCTGCCTGTCTGTGTCCGTGCTGTGCAAGCTGGTAGGAAGCCTGTCTTTGTTTCAACACGAATAAGGATTATAGAATGGTTATGCCAATATTAATTTCTGTTTAAAGGGGAATTTGAGATTAGCTCAGGAATCTCAGGTAATTTTCCTTCAGGTGAAGATTAATGGGAAGGTGCTGATGGGATTTGAGTTGTCTGAGCTGGCATGGCTTTATATTATTGCACAAGGTGGTGTTGCTGAAGATGTGCAACAACCTTTAATCAGAGCTGCAGCTGCCCTGTAACTTTCAAGCACATTAACTCTTTGTATGTACAGGTTCAGTTTCTACCCTGGCCCTTGATCTCTCTGCGGGAGAAGGGTTTGAGTTGCATGCAGCTTTCTGGTTTGCATTTGTTCTAGTGGCACCCCAATGACCAGACATCCTGGCTGTGGGAGAGTGTTGCATTTTCCATTTTAAAGCTTTTATTGTCCTGTACTTTTGTTGTTAAAGATTACATGCATTGGGCCATTGGGATTTATAGGTTATAACAGTCTTCAGTGGCCTTTGGGATGCAGTATATCTTCTGGATGGGGATGTATTCTCACAACTCTCCTGCCTGTTGTACTGGAAGGTATCAGACAGAGAAAGTTGCTATTTGCAACATTTGCTGAATTAGTTCAGAGAATGAAAACTGGGGTTGACAAGGGGGTGGCAGTGGCTATTTCCTGTTGATAGAGAAGGAGGCAGTTAGGGCAGATGGAGTGACAATAATCCCAACTGATTAACAAGGGGTTGGACCGCAGGGATAGGTTATTTTTTCTGTAATGCCAATAACTGACCTCAGCAGCTCTTTGGGATGTCTGGGCTGATGGGAGTTAACAGATATTGTAAGAGTGTGCAGGAGCCCCAGCCCTCATGGGAGGGGTAAGCTCAGGACAAGGAGCAGTCACACATTGTCTCTGAGAAATGGAAATGTGCTGTACTGCCAGTTTGGTTGGATGACCCGTTTCTCTCTTGCAGCACTGGTTGGCTTCCCATTCAGATTTGGGATTTCAAAACAGATTACTTTTAGTTTAATGGTTAAATAAGCTCTGACAGTTTTTCATTGTCTTTTTTGTCTTCAGGCTCTCTCATTATCAAGACTCATCTTGAAAGATTTTTTCCTGATAGACTCCCACTAGCCTTCCTTAAACTCCCACCACCCTTCCTTAGATTGCCATCACTGATGTGGCAAATAGAAAACTTGCCCTTTTTAGACACTGGTCCCATCGGTTTCTCCCCTCTTGTAAGGAATCTGCTTATCCCAAAGGGAAGGTGTTATGATCAAATTCTCTCTCTACCCTCAACCTTTGAAACTTCTTCCTCCTGACTCTTTCTATTTCAGTTTGTACTGTCTGGTTCCTTAATTATTTTAAACAGATATTACAATATGATATAGAGCCTGAAAGGATACAACTTCAGAAATTATTTTAATATGCAATTACAATACTACATAATTAATAATTATAATTGAAATGAATTAATATAATTGGCATTTGCTGTACCAGAAATGGCAGTATATTTTGAACTGAAATGATCTGAGATCTTTGTTCCACTGCAGAGTCCATTAATCTTTGTTGATTCAGTAATTATTGAAGATTTTAAGCTTCTTCTTATGCCCTAGACATTGCAGAGACACAGAGTCCAGAGTACAGCTGAAAAACTTGCAGATATCTATCTTCATAATTTCATATAATAGTATATAATATAATTTGTGGTTTGGTTTTCAGCTGCATTATGAGCTTTTTATATTTGTATTTCAGTGTTTACAGAGGATGGACATTTATGCAAATTTCCTTTCCGGTTTGGTGGAAGGTTTTATCACACGTGTTTATCAAATTTATTTTCCAGAAAGAAATGGTGAGTTGACATAAATGAAAACAGCATTCAAATGAAATGTCATCCTTTTAGTGCTTTAATCTTGCTTTTGGAGTAATTAAGATGAGCTGGAAGTTGTGCCCAAGGTGCAGTTCTGCTGCTGATGGCCGTGGCCCTCGGCTCAGGGTGTGCTCAGGGGAAGGGAGCCCTGGCACTGGGTTTACACAGCCACAGGAGCCTCAGGAACTGCAGAAATGCTTCCTTGCTGCCCTGCCCATGGAACTGCAATTTACATGGGTGGCAAGAGCTTGTACAGAAACAGCAGGACTGATGGGATGGGCCTGGGAGAGACCCTCTGCTGAGGGAGAAAGGGACACAGACACCTGCAAGAGAGGACACTTGCTTAAGGGACTGTTTGATTTGTGCAGGCTGAACTTTTGCTGCAGCAGAGACCATCTGATTTTTGAGGAAAGCTGTTTTCTCCCCACCCCCATCTCTCTAATTTCTATCCAGATTGGCACCAGAACCCCTTTGGACAGTGCAGTCCTAAGAAGTGAGGTATTACTCCTGTTTGTTGGTTAATGATTTATTCTACTAGTGTGTTTAAGGCCATTTTGCCTTCTTTTGGGCAAAGGTTACTCTTTTACTTTTGCAAAAGCTGTTAGGAGTATTCATGATCCATTTTTGGGGTAGGAGCAGTCAGGGGGGAGCCCTACTGAATTAAAACATTGAATAAAAAAGATTAATTTTGCAGACAAACTCATTTGATAGGCATATATTAACTGAAATCAAGGGCAACAAAGCAGAGAATATGTGGGTACCAGTAATGTGAAAATTATGCCCAGATGAGCCATGTGAAAGGCAAACACTTGCCTGTTTTCAGGGCAGAGATGATATTTTAGAGTTTATTTTACTTGCCCAGGCAGGGCAGAACTCTCATTTTTTATACTGGACTGTCTCATTTTTTCATGATCTGTTGGCGTCTTTCTGATGACACATCTGTTTCAAGTGTAAGTGTTGGTGTAATGTAAACAACACAAAACAAACCTGTTTGCACAAATAGACACTGAGCTTCAGGCTAGGAAACCACTTCAGAATTTCCCCAATATCCACTGATACAACCCAGCTAATAAAAGCCTCTTTTACTAGGAAACAAGAGTTTGAGACTATCTTAACTAAAGAAAGGGAACTGGACTAATTTACCAGTTTGAATCCTGTCTTTGATGAACTTTAGCCACAAAGAGTTTGACCTTAGCACACACTTAATTCCATGCAATGCTTAAGAGGGATCCTGTTAATACATGACACTGTGTATTTGTTTTTAGCCAGTTAGGGCACAGAAATGGAAAAAACCTGTCAATGGATGTGGTCCAAGGTTAGAGAACACTTTAGAGCTGACCTTGAACAACTTGCTCTTATGCTTCTGACTTTTTAAAAGCCATTTACAAGCAGGGAGACAAGGAGGAGGACAGCTGGAGTTATTTGGATTTGACAGACCATTTCACCCTATGGGTGACCTTCTGACCAGTGTTTGCTCATCACTCATAAGCTAAAAGCAACTTAATGTGTGACTTCAGGCACAGAGATGCCAGGAAAAGGGCCCTGAATAGCAGTTGGGAAACCTGCTCTGTGCACTTTTTGTGTGACTTGGCACAGTCCCAGGCTGGACTTACACTGAATAACTGATCCCAGGGCACCTGGAAGGCTCCAGGTGAGGGCAAGGCTCATGCCCTTCCTGCTCCTGCCTCCTGCAAGCTGCTAGGAAGGGATGATGGGAGGCTGGGTCCAAACTGCTTCTGAATTCTGAATTCCAGGAAACCTGACCAGGAGAGCCCTGACTTGTGTGTTTAAGTTCATGTCCTCAGTCTTCAAGTCATATTTTGGGTCAGGACTACAGGCAGGACTTTACAGTGCAGGCTAAACCCCACTCAAATTTGCTTTAGATTTATGTTTTCTCATACTACATATGACACAGCTACTGTGTTTCAACATAAATCTGCTCCTGACCACAGAAAGCTCTCCCTACTTTGAGAGCAACAAACAAGCTGTATCTTTATAAATATTTATTGAAAATACAGGAAAGAAGACAGAATAATTACACTATTTAAATAACAGACTTCCTTTAACAGCATCCTGTATGGCTTTTCCCCTTAATTATAATCTGTTTTTACAAATAAATTTCCATTTAGTGGCCTATTACTAAGTCTTACATGATATCTTGCTAAGGATATAGTGTAAATTTTCCTTTTGTGCTGAGGAGAAAAAAAAAAGTTGGAATTGCTTCCGAGTTTCATTGGTACCTCCAGAGAGACAAAGCAGTGTAGGGACAGACAGAATGGGGGTGCAGTGAGCACTGGTGAGAGCAAAAGGGGAGGGTGGTCTGAGCTGGACCAAGCTGTGGCTGCAGGGAAGCTGCAGCACCCTGTCCCTGCATCCCAGGGTGGGATGGGTTCCTCAGATTCTGCTCTAGGGGAATGGCAGGAGCAGACCTTGCCTGAGATTTTGGCTATAAAAGGGAAGGTGTTGACTCATGCCCTGCAGAAGCCTTATCCTGTGCTTGAGTTCTGCAGGGGCAGGGCCACTGTGCCAGGGTGAGCTTAGGTCTGTGTAGGAAGGACATGATCTTATCATCTTCCTTGGAAACAAGAAGATAACTTTTGATATGTTGGCCACAGACTGAAAACAGTGCAGAGGAAGCTTTTTGGCCAGCTGGATTACAGGATGGGGAGTTTCTGACAGTCCTGGAAAGGAGAAATACCTGTGGGCTGAGCTGGGAGATGTCAGGCATCAGGTTCTGAATTTTCCTGGAGCTGCCAGTGGTTGGTCTGGTGTTGTCAGACAGAGTCTGTCAAGCCATGTCTCATGGTCAGGACAATACCCAAAAATGTCTCAGGCAACCTCCAAGTCTCAAACACAGTGACAACACCAGGTGTGATGGCAAAGCTCTTTCCTTACACCTGTCTGCCTCAGGCCTGGGGCTTTGCTTGTTCTCCAAAACATCCTATTGTTAGGGCTCCCTGTACTCCTGGTGGGAAAAACAGCCTACTTTCCATTGATCCTGCCTGCCAGTTAGGCCTCATCTTCTGTTTGCCCATTCCCATGCTCTTTACCATCTATGGGTTTAAAATGTTATTTAAATCAATCCCTTGTAGTGGACTTTTCTGATACAATTAGTTCAGTATCTCTGTCCTTATGTTTTCACTTTCATATTAGCAATTTTATATGACAAGCTGATGTAAAGATGTTTGCTATCCCATAAATGTTGAGTGTGCGTGCATTTGCAAATAGCATAAAGTTATAATAAAGCCACTGGGTTGGTTTGGCTGCTGGAGGTAACATTCCAGAAGACTGAAAAGTCACCATTTCATTTTTGGTAAGCCTCCAATCAGACAAAACATTTTTAAAAGAAAAGGAGGGAGATCTCACAGAAAGTGAGATCTGTGGTGGAAAATATGAAAGGATTATGTCACTGTGCAAGAAGCTTTGCACCAAGGAGGCAGCTTGGCATCACAAGGGGGGACCAATCTCACTGTAGTCACTGCAAGGCAATAGGGAAGGACTGGCTAGGCAGAGCATCAAGTGGGAGGACCAGTGGTTTGTGGAGAGCTGGTAGAAGAAGCCTCTGTCAGGGTCTCTGATTTGGGACTCCCCTTTGCTTAGAACTTGGCTGCTGCTGGACAGTGACATGAGCAGTGCTGAGGACGCTTTTATCTCATTTCTCATCTTCATTCTTGTGCATACTAGACCACCCTTTAAAGAAAGCACAATCCACTTCCCACAGAAGGATCTTTGAGGAATTTCCATCAGCTCCCAGGAGTTTCACCAGCCTTAATTCCTGTGAGAGAACAGCCTCTTTAAGCATGTGCCACCTTAATCTGCACCAGACTACCAAGCATCTCTTTTAGTGCACCTTTTATAATTGAGGTCACCCAACTTAATATACATGGCCTATTCAGATGCTCCATAGGAATGATGCATTTTGAATACCACATAGCATCTAATTAAGAAGGAAAATAGGGCAGTTAAAATGTAGACATGTGCTGCAATAAAATTTCAGTCTAGCTTGTGACATCCTAGGATGAAAAATTTGATCACACAACTGCTCAAGGAATTATAAAACCAGGCATAATGGAAGTAGATCATCAGGGACATTAAATAAACTCCAGTGCCTTCTAATGTCTAATATAGGCTGATACCTATTATTCTGCATTATAACTGGCTAGGGAGGATGTTTTGGTGGATGGTGCACTGGGACAAGACATGGATCTCCAAGATACAACCTCAGTTCAGCCACGTGCTCCCTGTGTGTCCTCAGGGAAGCCTCCAAATCTGCTCCTGCAAAAGAGGAATAGCAGCTCTGTGCTCATTGGGGTGCTCTGATCCTGAGATAGCAGACTCAGACCAGCAGTGAGGGTGGGCAGGACTGTCCCCTGCTCTCAGAAAAGGAGAGGTTTTGTCTGTGCCTTTGGAAATCACCCCCGTGACAGTTATTTCCTCATTTCATCTTGTAAGTTCCAAAACAAGAATGCTTTAAAGGAACTGAGTGTGAAAAGAGTGAAATATGCTTGTCACTGAAAGTCAGGGAAAAGTCCCTTTGTGGACAGTCTCCTGCCTCTACAGATTACTACAGTAACTGTCAGGCATCAAAAATGGGCTGGGTCTGTTTTGCTTGTTTTGTAATAAGTAAAGAAAACATTATTTGTCTTTGGTTTTGTTTTTATTCTTCTCTTTCTTTTTCTAATCCCAGAAATAGGAAGCATGTTGGGTTTTTCTGAAGGATTCATTGAAAATCTCAGGTCCTGCATTTACATCTTATTTTTAATATGTTTTTAATGTGAGACAAGTGGAGCAGAGCAACTTTAACAAAAGAAAGCATATTTTTTCCTCTGCTCTTACAACAATTTGAATGAAACTGATGCCAATTAGAAAAAAAACCAAGCATGAATTTCCAGGCCACCAGAGTGTGAAGGCCCTGTTGTTTCACTGCAGACACCCAGGTTGTTTAAATATGAACTAAGGCTATTTAAAGATGCACTAAGCTGCACCTTTGATTCTTTTCAGGTGTTCAACAACACATAACTTTGACCGGGACAGGAGGTGGGGACACTGCGATTTGCTGCCCAGGGACCACTTCTCCAGGGACCACCTGCCCAGGGACCACCTGCCCAGAGACCACTCAGGTAAGGCTGAGCTGCTCCAGGTGCCTGGCTCCGACTTTGCCACTTGCAGGAAGGAGGGAGAGTGCCTTCAGTGCAACTTTTATTTGTGCATTTATTTTGAAGCAAACCTTCACATCAGCTGTTTCCATAATCTCTTTGTGACGCTGCACAGCCAGAGCATTAGACTGTGAATATCACACAGTCTTTAATTCACTCTCTGTTGACTAACTCTAAGTCATGGAGAGAAATTATGGTAATGCCAGCATGGAAATCTAAACTCCTGCTGGAGACAAACACAAAGGTGATCATCTTCTCCTCCCTCATGGCTTGGATGTGCCTTTTAGCTTTCCCTGAATTACACAGCTGCATTTTCTGTCTGTTTGACCAGTTAATTTCCTTAGAAGGCACAGAAACATTTGACACCCTGTACAACATACAGCCATCACTTCCAGCTTTCCTTTCTTGAGATCTCATGGGAAAGAGCAGTTCTCAAACCCAGAATTCTTGAGCTCTGGGCTGTGTCAGAGAAGACAAGAGGCCAGACATGTTCATTGCAGGAGTCCTGAGGGATAATGAAAGGATTACTTGGCTGAACAGCTCTGTGGCTTCCTGTGGTCACCACACTCCAGTGCTACAATTACCTCATTGCGAGAGTCTGTCTGAAAGGGGAAGTCAAGGTCTGTGGCAAAGTCACCTTTTATATATAAAAGTCACTTTAATTGACACATTGGGTGAAAGTTCACCTGGGAATATGCATCCCTGTCCTCATCAGTCCCTCAGTGACTGGCTTTGCTTATCTCTGTACCCCTGGCTCCATGAGCTGGATGTTGGGGAATCCCATTTTATAAATAATACATATATATTTGTGTATGTGTATATATACATATATGTGTGTATATATATATATATATATATATAAATTCTCATTTCATACAGCCACCGACCAGCTTGAAAAATCAGGTGTTGAACTGGTCAAACTTGATGCCCCTGAGGCTTTTTTTGGGATCTCTGTCCAATTCTGTTCATGTTCCTCTTTTTGCCGTCTCACAATTTTCAAATGAGACGTTTAGTCTGCAGGATATGACCAATAGCCTTAAATATTCACTTCCCACTTTCAAATGAAGGGCTTTTTCTACCAACCCCTTTCAGGGAGCTCTCCACAGTGTCAGGAGTCTCATTGCCAAGCTGATTGCAATCTACCAGAGCACTTGAAAAGCCAAATTAGCTGAATCATGCTCACAGTCTAGAATTAAGCAGCGCACAGCATCACCTTTTTAAATGTAGCTACTTTAAATTATTTTCCAGCCTGGCTTTAAAACAGATTAACAGTAGATCAGAGGCCAGTGACCTAGCCCCAAAACAAGCAGCAATGTATACAACTTTGTAATGCAAGTGTGCCAGACATGAACATAGACTTTATGGGCAGCTCATGCTTACAAAAGTCAGGTTGTGAGGGCTGCACTTACTCATCAGTGGCTTCCCAGAGCTTAAAATACAAAAAAAAAAAAAAAAAAAAAAAAGAGTTACATGTGTGTGAGAAAGGAAAGGAAAGAGAAAAAAGGAAGGGGTAGCTGGAAGAGATCACCACTGGCTGCTGCAAAATAAAAAGATAACCCCTTTATTTCTGGAAGCATTTAGAATTTGAAAAAAGTAAATGCAAGGTTTTTTGGCTGTTATTTTATTTATAAACATAAGTCTACTTAGGTTTTTTTAAGCAGCAGTTTTTGGATTTGGGAAATGTTTAACAGATTATTAACCATAGCTTAAAGTGAACAGGTCTATGATGAGGTTGAAAGGAAAAGCAATTTAATGGGTGAAGGGAATTAAGCCAAAGAAGGAAAGTTTGCCTGGAAGAAATAAGCAGTCAAACTGAACACTGCTGATCTCTAAAACGTGTAAAATAATACTTTTAAAAAACTCCACTAAAGTATTAAATCTTTGGATGTTTTTTCTTGAAAAACAAGAAAAAAGTTGAATTTCAGGGAGAGAGTATCCTTTGTCCATAGGAGGTTGGTGAGCAGTGTATCCATTGGCATGGAGAAGGAGCTTCTTTAGAGCAAAGGCTGAAGCACAAACTCTCTCCAGGCCAAGATTACCACATGCATGTGACAAGTCAGCTTCAAACTGATGGAGGCGCTTACAAACCAATGTTAAGCAAGCACCGAAAGCTTTGATCCAGAAAAATACATCTGCCAAATTCAAAGGGAAGTTTAACCAGGAGGCCTTTAGCTCTAGGATGAAGTGAAGCCGGGGTAGGAAGTTTCTGCTAGAAGGAGCTGTTAGTACTGCACACACGTGGGCTGTGCAGGCATAGCTCACATATATGTACAAATGTCCATCAATGTGAAATGCCCCTATAGGTGGGAATTCCAGATTTTGGGCAGGCTGGTAGGACTACTTCTCTGAATGTCTGGAAATCTTGGACAAGTGGCCAAACCCCCAGGGAGACCCAAACATGGGGGAGAAAATTGCCAGACAGTATTTTTAAGATCCCTCTGGACTGATATGGAAAGAAATAGTAGAGTGGTTTGGGCTGGGCAGGCAAGAGGAAGAGGCATCATCCTAGGAGGAGCTCTGAGGAAAGTGGATGGCAGAAACAGAAAGTTTTTGTTGGGAAATATGGGCAGAAAGGTGAGACAAGGCTACTGCTCAATCAGCAGAGACTCGGAGAGGTGAAGCTGCAGTCAAGATGAGAGCTAGCAAGCATGGAGTGTTTTATCCATGGATGCTTTAGACGGTGCTGAGATGGATGCTTTAGAGGATGCTTTAGACAGTGCTGAGAAAGTGTGGACTTGGCAATACCCAGTTAATGGACAGTTAATTGTGGGCAGGATTCCCCACTGGGAACTGAGATGTGTCCATCTGCTTATGAGCAGAAGTTGTTCCTGGATTCCAGGAAAGATGTGGAGCAACACAGAACATGCCTGGAAGGTCAGACTGGAGTGGTGGGTGGGATGTAGTGAGGAACAGATTGAGAAAGAAATAAATGAGTGGAAGTGCTTCTTGCAGATTTAACAAGGGTACAAAAATTTTTTTGAACATTTGTTACAGCAGAAGATGGCTTGGAGATCAGATCATGGCTTGGATGTAGTGGGAATAGGAAATACAGGATTTTCCTTTGAGGAAACACTACGGCACTAGAAGTTTCATAACCTTCAACAGCAGGAAGAGTAGGAATGTCACTGACTTCACTTGCTTTCCTTTGATGTTATCCTGGATTGAAACTCCCAGTGAATATACCCAGACCTGCTATCTGATAGGAATTACATCACTCTCTTCTGAAGTAAATATTTTGATCCCTGCAGGGGAAGCTCAGATTTACCCTGCTGTAGCAAATTCAGGATGCACCCTTTGTGCTTCACCTCAGCCCTGCTCATGTGTGCCTGTGCCTCTGCATGTTGCATCTCATGCTCAGGACGCACAGTCTGGCTGAAGGAGCACCTGGATTGAGTAACCCTGGAGATGGTGTAGCAGAGTTTGACTAGCATTAAAAAGGAAGATTTGAATGCAGACAAGCTGTTGGGCCAACTCTGGAGCAGGTGTAAACTTGTTGTGGGTTAACTTCAGCGGAGATCCATCCCTTGGCCCCGTCTGAAATCAGAAACACTGCCTGACCAGCAAGACTCTTACTCCTTTTACATTGCACATTGCCAAGTAAAGCTTCTATTGCACGAGCTGTCGTGGCACCTAACTCCTCTCCCACCACATTTTCCCATCATTCAGATAATTCCCCAGTAAATGGAAATATGCTAGACTGGTCCAGTTTTCATCTTTCTTGGTGTGATTTACTTGGATGTGTAAATGAGGATACAAGCATCATCATGTCACCCCAGGACAATGTGCTTTGTGGTTTTCTTTACAATTTTTTCCTTAGTTCCAGCTGTCCATTCCTTTTAGACATAATCCAAAATCCCATGGCAAATCCTTCTGTCGAGGGCTGTCCTTGGAGCAGTTTGAAAGCGATGCGCGATCCCGGCGGTGGCAGAGGCCAGGCAGTGCTGCAGCCTTCCTCCCTGCAGCCTTCCTCCCTTGCAGCCTTCCTCCCTGCAGCCTTCCTCCCTTGCAGCCGTCCTCCCTGCAGCCTTCCTCCCCGCCCAGTGTAAAGGCACAGCTCCATCTTGTGGGCACCTGGCCCGTCTTCTTCCTCGCCACAGTGCCAGCTCTGGGGGCTGCGGGTGTGCCTGGACCTACCCCCTTCAGACAACTTAGTCTTGGGAGTGAAGGTTCAGCTCAGAACCACATGGTTCAGATCTGCCACATGGTTTTTAAAAGCTGGATAAATATGCTTCCATATTCCCCAAACCCACTGTCAATTGGTTGGACAAACTTAGTTTTACATTATTAGATGGTATTGAACCCACTGAGCATGGTTCACGGAGCCAAAAGGACAAAGCATGACTTATACCATACTTATTAACAACAATTTCTTAGTGGCCTCTCCAGATCACTGCGCAGACAACCCCTGCCAAAATGGAGGGACCTGTTCTCTCACTCACAGCCACAGGATGTACCACTGTACCTGTCCTGAGGAATTCACAGGCGAGGACTGTCAGCTGAGTAAGTATCTTCTGCCACCAGTGTTACAACATGAAATATGAAAAGTAAGTAGAGCTCATTAATGTTTGCTTAATGAAAAGGTAGTGCTGTTGTGATGGGAGAGACCACTGCAGCATGAATGTTTGTGTAGGTGGATTTCCAAATGGTTATGACAGACAATCCTTTCCTGACAGGACAACTGAAAATAGCTCGACTCTGCAATTATAAATCCAAGTATGCTCTGAGCATGGGAAACACAAAAAGCCTCTTCCCCTTCCTTTGCTGTTTTTAAGATTTAAATATCCCTTACATGTTTGGAAATTACTAATATTGCACTAGGCAATGCACAGAGATGTGAAAAAACTGCACAATTTCAGGGGGTGCCTTGTTCCTTATGTACATGCACATGCTGGGGACAGTGATGCTGTCCTGCCTACAGGGCTTTAGGAGAAAGCCACCTCTGCCCTGAGGTTCCTGGAGCTGCTGCTCTACTGGCTCAGTGCCTCCACACTATGGAGGATGGCTAGCTTGAGAAGAACTGTCAACAAACATGGATCTGCTCAACAGGAAAAAAGGGATGAGCAGGGAATGATAATAGAGATTGTGGTGCCATTTCTTGCACGAAATAACATCTGAAAGCTTGTGTTGTTTGTAAAACTTCATTTCAGAGAAATGTTTTGACAACAGCCTCTATGAATTCTTTGATGTGGAAGTGAGCTGGTCAAGAGTCCAAGGAGGAGCAGTGGAGCAGTGCACGTGTGTGCATGGCCAGATGCAGTGTGAGCGCGTGGAACACAAGAGTAAGGCTCTGTTTTGTACCACAGCTGTAGCTCTGCATGGAGGGGGGATAAAGGACAGTGAGGGTATCAAAGTCTGAGAGGTATTACACCCCCTAATGCTGCCCTTACAGCACTCTAAAAGACAACATTTTAGCTTTCCTTTCCAAGAGTGAGCAGTTATACTGACCCAGGAAATCCCTTCAATGTGTCCATCCTTATTTGAGGAAGCAACTATTTTAGGAGGAATTTTAAGGACACACATTGTTTTCTTACAGAGGAAAAAAATATATAAGAATATACAACAGGTTATATAGTAGGAGTGGTAAAATTCTTTCTCCAAAACTACAACCTGCCTGAGAGGTGAAATCTGCACACCAACAATCACTTCATATTGCTGTTTTGCCTCTGTTTCTTCCCAAGTCCATCTCACTCTTGAATTAGCAGCATGTAAATTTTACCTGCCTCCAAGATCCCGTAAGGCCTGCATTGGCTCTAGGGTCCCCATGATTTTTGGCCCATTCCTGGCAGGTATGATGCTTACATTATGAAGCCTCCTCCTTTTTTAAGGGGCTGCCAGGAGCCCAACACCCTGGCCAGCCAGCACTGGATATGCACTTTGGGTTGTCACCCATCTGAAGAAGCCAGCACGGCTCCTTTCATTTGGAGGAGAGATGTTGGGAAGCAAACCATGAGCCTCACCTACACATGTGTTCTGGTATGGCTATTCTGTTAGTCTGGCTAACTTTTACCTTGCCCAGATTCACAAGTAAGTCACAGTACAAATTAGTTTCATAAAAGCCCTTTGGAATGTGTAGGTGCCTTTATTCCCTTATGTAATTGGAAATTAAAGTATGGAGAGTCAGTGGCTTTCTAGGACATTGAGAGTCTGTGTGAGAGTTGGAAAATTTGATAGACTGAATACTTCCCAATCACAGATCTTAAATATTTAACTGAGCTCCCTACTAGATATGTTATTATAAATTCTAATAGAGCTTAGTGGCAAGTCTAGAATTGGCAGAACCCTCTATAGAGGAAGAAATGTTAATACCATCTCCACTAGTAATAATAATCACCACCCCCATTTTACCCATTGTTCACTGATAATATCTTTCAATAGCTGAAATTATCCAATAGCAGGGAAAACAATAGACAGACCTCAGTGGGCAGAAATCATTTGAGTTTCCTTTTCTTTAATTTATCACAAGTGTAGGTCTGACATAAACAAAGAAGAAAAACTTCCCCTAAATGCATATGCACAGAGGAGATGCACTACAGTAAGTTAAAATGGGCTGATTCTCTTGAATAATTTGTACCTTTGGTTTGACCATTCGTTGTGTTTCCTTGTAGGTTGTGTTCATAATCCTTGCATGAATGGTGGAGAGTGCAAGATGGTTGTCTCCACTGAGAAAATAGTATGTGATTGCAAAGAAAATTATGCAGGAAAGTATTGCAATATTGGTGAGTATAACAACCCACAGGCAGAGAGAATTAGGAGTTTTCATCTGGGCGTAAGGCTGGTGGGTTTAGCTCTGTTGTGTTCTGCATTTGAGGACATTTCTTGTACCAACTGAAGAGTCACACAGAACAAGGGTTTAATGTATTTCTTCAGTGTAAAATATAACACACACTTCACCATTGAGACTCAGCTTCTAAAAATATTTTTCACGCCCTTTACTTTATAGAAAATCAAACAGAATTTTTAATCCAATTACACATGCCTATAAAATAAGTGCATGCTTCTATTTTGCAGAATCAGTCACAGAGTTCTACTATAGAGCTACTGCCTCCCTACACATCCACACATCCCCTATAAAGCAGGGATTTACATCTGACAAAATCTAGCAGCCATTCTTTGGTAGCACTCAATGACTGTGGGACAGAGAAAATGCTCACCCTTTGGGTTTTAATTTTAAGTTAATAGCACATTTAGCCCAGTACAGGTTATACAAAACCCCTTCCTTTCTCTGGTGGGTCAGAGAAATCTGTTTTTTGGTATCTATGTGTAAGTCCTGTTTTGTGTTTTAGATGCTACATAGTTTTGATACAACTTTCCTCCAGAAGACTTAACATTTATCCCAGCAGGGGTTAAATCTTGCTTGCATGCTATATCTGCAAGTCGTGCCAGTGGCTACTTTTTAAATAAATCCACATTTTAGGCATAAATTTTAATAGACCTTCAGCCACACAATCCTGTGACCCCATTAATTCACTGGCTGTGTCTTTCTGGGTGCATAAATCCCATGGCTCACCAAAACTGAGGACATGACTCCCAGTGGCTCTGGTGGTCACTTTCTTAATCCAAATGGGTGGTGGGGTAAACAACCTCTTAATGAACACTGCAATTTATATCTGGCATTCTTTTTGTTACTCTGATGGTTAACAAATGGTGTAGTCAACTATTCTAGCTGGGGGAAAAAAATCCACTTGGGAGACCAGCAGTACAGCTGGAAAAGCAAATAGCAGGAGTGAGTGGGTAAATTGGACAATGTAAGAGCTGGTCCTGGACTCACCAGGTATCTGATGAATCATGAGAAATGGCTTTGGGACTCTTTAAATCCTTCAAAAGGAGCACTATTTTAGCTCAGTTGCTCTGTCCTTTAGTTACCCTGGGGAGATTGTTCCAGGCTTTGGGAATGCTGCTGCAGGGATCTGGGTGAGGGGCTGCACAGCACACACTGTGTGGCCTGGAGCCTGGGGCAGGGCTGCCCTCTGCTCATTTTCACATTAAACTGCTTTTCCAGTTCCTGTTTTATTATCAGCTTCCCCTGCCCCAAGCAGCAATGGTGCAAACAGAGACATCCACCCAGCAGGGCTGGATCATAAACACCAGAAAGGCAGTTTTACAGCTGTCATACAGGTTTCTGACTAGCTTTGAACAGGAAATAAGCAGGTGCTCTTTGATTACTTGAAAATAATAAAGCAAACATTTGGCTTGCTAAAGAAGTGGCTTTGGATGCTTACAATCCATCTGTGTTCAGCTTCCTAACACCCCTACACAGAATGGGAACTGAAGGATTGTGTTTGTGTGTCAGGGCCTTGCAAAAAGTCTAAAAAAAGAAAAAACTCTTTGTCAAGATGCAGTCATTCTAAATTAGTGCAAATAAATTAATCTTCAGGTCTACACACCTGGTACTATCACCACAGTAGGGCAATGGCATTCTGGTGAAAGTGCCTTGCATTCTCTGAGCGCTCAGATATGATTTTTAAATATTTGTTGGATTAATTTTTTCTTTAACACTTTAATTTGATGCAGTGAACAGAAATGGCTTTTTTCCTTTGTTTCCTTTTTACTGTCTTGTACAGTTTCCCTCGTCTAACAGGATGCACTTGTGAGGTTACCCTTTAGTTGGAATAGCTGGTGGCTACAATGCTTGATTCAGAGAAAGTGTTACAGTATTTCCTCTCCAAAGTGTACTTTATTCTGAATTATCAGTTAAAGAGGCAACCTTAAAGCCAAGGTGTGATGCAAAAATGTTTTCTTAGATTTTTTTTTAAGCAGAAATCAATTTAATAAACAGGAAGTCTCCCAGACTGTTATTGAGATGTAATATGTTTGAGGTATCCTCTGCCCTTGACTTTCACAGAGAATAACCAGCCTTCATATGTATCTAATGAAAAACCAGCAAATTTATCTTAATATTTTACCCAAAAATATTAAACATTATACTCAAAAATATTAATAATGAAGTACCATCCTTCATCCATCAGATCACAAGCTTTAGTACTGTTGTGCCTCAAGCACTGGTACAGTAGACTGAGGAGCAAAACCAGGAGAAAAGTACTGAAAACATCTCTTGGTTGAGGATATACTTAGCAGATGCTTGGACCATCATATCTGTCAGACCTTTACCTGTTTTCCATGAATTTGTCTAAATTCTTCAGTATTCCTTTATGCTTTCCCCTTTCACAGCATTCCGTGTCAAGAAGTCCCAGATTATAAATAGATGTGATGAAAAGAACTATTTTCTGTTGTTAACAAAAAACCTACTGCCTGGTAATTTTATTCTTCCCCTTTGAACAGTGAGTAACAGAATAATCATAACTTTTGTGATTTTAAAGATACCTATTTATCTGTCCATTACTTTTTGGACTACAATGTCCCTGCGAGTACTCAAAACTCATCTTTGATCTTAAAATTCTCTTGCAAACAACCATAATATATATGTGTGTGTATGTGTGTATGTGTATATATATTTCTGGGCTATTATCATAAATGACCATATAGCTACTGGAAAATCATGAGCTGACTTAAAAAAAAAAAGAGATGATAAAAGTAACAGAGGAGATATCCATCACAAAGGAGATTGATATACAAAAGACAGTTTCTAATATAGATTTCTATTCTTTGTGGTAATACATTATTTTCTTCTTAAAGAAGAAACTTGCAGTACTAAAGAAAGAACTGCCATTTTAAAAAGTGTTCTGAGACAGTTTATATGCATAGGATTTCAGTGAAGTTTAATTTTGAAGGAAATTAGAGGCATCACCAACAAATCTCTTCCCAAAGAGATGCTGTTTAAAATTGTTCAAGGAACCATGTTTAATTAAGTTCAATTCATAATAACTGTCCTTAAATATGCACCTGTTTTCAGAAATAAGAAATAAGGATTTTGTGCTAAAAGAGTGACTGCATTCTCTTTGGAAACAGAAATAAGGATTCTGTGCCAAAAGAGTAGCTGCGTTCTCTTTGGAAACAGCTCTTGCTGGGACAGCTCTGAATCCAGGCTCTAGGTGAAGATTCAGAATCAATTGCCCAATCATGAGTAGCAATGGTTGTCTCACTGAACACAGAAATTTATCAAAAGGGCCCAAATCCAACCACTTTAGCAGTGGCAAATGGGGGCAAGAAGTGAAACCTGAGAAAGATGGGAGTGGAATATTTTATCTCTAGCCCAGGCTGGCATTGGAAATGGAGAGTGGATTTATTTGTAGATAATTAACTTTGTAAATATTTAGCTTCACTGGAGGTGATAATTGATGACAAACAGTTATAAATATGTAATTGTAAAATTACTTTGACATTTTATGTTTCTTTGAACAGACAGGAGCCATGGTGGAGATGTTGGATACAGAGGAGGAGTTATCTGGCCAGAGGACAGATAATTCATTATAATATGCATTTATGGAGAAGTTAAAGGGAATTTAAAGGTAGAGGAAGGAGATGTAGAAATTTTTTTTTCAGGGGGTTAGTGCCTTTAGGTTTCGGTGGTTGAAACCCCACCATTGCATTCACAGTTTTTGCTTTCGTTTATGGAATGTGAATGGAAATTAATATATATTTTGCCAGATTTCCATGTAAAAACATTTCCTTTCTCTTACCACAGCTTTGTTACTGTTGGTTGGATGTCAGTTGTTATTAAATTTGGGGTATTTATTTGTATTTTAAAATTAATTCTTGATGTATTATTATTTATGCTTTATTTATATTCTGATATGTTAGTGGGGTATATTTACTCTCTTAGTCACCAAGTCTTTTCCTGAAGCATTTGCTCACTGTGGTTGTGGGTTGCACTGGGTTTGAGTGCATTGGGAGCACTGCACAGAGGATTAAACATTTTGAGTTTTCTTTGGATTAAGTCTTAGGTAGCCTTAATCCAAAGAAATGGATTTGATAATATTTTGATAATGGTTTTGATAATATTTTGGTCATGAAATGTGAAGTATTTGGTGAAGGTATTTCTCAAAACTCTGCTTGGTAGTGTTTGGGGGTATTTTCCTCATTAGGCTATGGATAATGGAATTAGAGGGGTACCATATCTTTAAAGAAAGCATGGGTTGGAATTCTAATTGTGGAAAGCTTCTGGTTATGTAAGGAGATGTGGTGTATGTCAGAAGTAGGCTGAGGATTTTCAGAAAAGGAAGATGATAGAATAGCTGAATATATAATGACCCACAGGAAAAAAAAACCCAAAACTTCTTGGCCACATCTTTAGGGGTTAAACTGGAGGAGTTTGAGGTAATAGAATTAGCAAAAAATGACAGCAAACCCACCTTTTTAGTGGTTCATTTACTGAAATAGTGTGTTGGCAGTTTTCTACTAAAAAAGCTACTTTAGTAAAGGAAATTCAGCTCTGGAGGCTGGCAGGAAAGTTTTAAATATTTTTTGTTTTCTGAAGAAGACACAAGACAATGAATTTGAACTTTCTGCTTTATATTTACCCTGTACTAGAATGCTTTTGGATTAGTGTTTGATTTTTTACTTTCTAGAAATGCAGAGGGAAACAGGGTGAAGTATAATAACAAGGTCCATTGGCTGACAATGATAAATGGGCATTTAACTGGTCAGTCAGTCCCCCACTGAACTTGGACAGGTGGGTCTGTAAGTAAGACTTGAAAAGGGTTTCTATGTGAGGCTGAGATGATGCTTGTTGCTCGCTTGTGTGAAGCACTGGGCTCAATGATGCAACTAGGCTGGAAAATAATAAAGTCATTCTTTCTCCACAGTTGTGGAAAAATAG